TGCTGGGGTATTATTCCAGGTGTTTTTCTTTACACAGCTGTTAAGCAGGAAGTAGAACCAAAACCAAAGATTGATTTGAACCATTGTTTTGTCAAAAACCAGAACTGAACTTGAATTATTGTCTTCTTTTGACTTCATTGAATTCAGATCATCATTGGCCACAGCTGGATCCAACTCCAGTTCAAACCACACTGAAAAAAGCACAGAGCCTGACCACGCTCTTGAATAGGTGTGACTTTGAAGGCCAAGAACCTGCATCTTGTCATGAGTGCAGCTGATGTCACCTTAATGCCAATAGCAGCTTTAACTGAGCCTTGTATACATGTGCACATGTATATATTGCTATGCATTTATCAAGTGCTTTACTGTACACCAATTTATTTTACTGAAAAAAAACAGTCTTACATTTCTTAATTGGAAGATAAAAGGCAGACTAAAGAAAGAAGTCTCCTGATAAAATACCAATGTTTTAGCAAATAGATGCATAGTTTTACTCAGGCAGGACTCACACATCTCAGGAAGCTTAGAATTTTACATTGCAACTACACTGGTTTGCCCCTATTTTCTGAAAGTCAAAAGAGCTTGATTGAATGCAGACTGCAAACTTGTTCCCTACAAACCTAGTTAAACATGAAATCTTGTGGGATTAGCTTAATTGTTCCCTAAATGAAAAGGCTGCTTTGTACACAGACTACAATTTTATGCTTGCCAGATAAAGAAATGTGAACCTGTCCAGAGACACAGGAATTTGTCTGTGTAGGAGTATCACTGGGCCAACTGTCTTGCCTTTTATGTGATATTGTGGTGTAAAACATCACTCCACTGGTTTAGTTTTACAGAGAATAGTCTCTGTGGTAGTACTCTGTGGGAACTGAAGTATCAAGTTCTATTTTCCCTTCACAAATCCAACTGCATTCGTACCCTGCTTCTGACACCACGCTCTCCATGACTGTCAGACAGCGGCGTGGGCTCGGGGGATGCTGCGGCACAGCAGGGGAGCTGCAGGGAACCTCTTCCAAGCAAAGCAGGAGGTGCCATTCTTTGCCACAGGAGAGGCTGCCATAGGTAACACCACAGTGTTTGAAATGAGGGATGGTATCCCTGATAGGATTATACAGTAACTTAGTAAATGGGGAAAATATTTTATTATTCCATTTTTAATTTTCAGAGGATTATGTGATACTTCTGATTATTAGACACTATTACTCTGACAGCAAACTTTTATATTTTTCTTTTGGCTTCCCTACTGCCTGCTTGAAAGTAAGAGTTGCTGTAATTAAAGACTTTATTTGTTATATAAATGTAACCATAAAACATGTGGAGTTCCTATCTTCCAAAGCTACCAGAGCAAGCAAATAAAGACAAAATTTCTGCAAGTGTTCTCAAGTGACCCATTCTGTTTAATCTCGTTTCCTTTCTTCCTAACCAATCTTCTCAAAAAGCCTCTCCATGTCAGGAGCCAATAGTTTAACAAGGACAATGTGAAGCAGAAAAGAGAGGCTGGCCAGGAACCACTGAAAGGGAGAAGCTGGGGCACTGCTGGGCTCTGAACACCAGCACGTCTGCAAGTCTGGCTCAAAAGTGGGCAACCTATGGGTGAAAACAGCACAGAAAGATGATGTGAGCAGCAAGGTGTCGTTTACTCCCTAACTATGAGAAGAAGCAGTCACCACCCCTGTGCCCTTCACTTACAAGAACTTAGCAGGGAGCATTTACGTTGCCCTCCGTGCCAGCTGACACACTCCAATGTGCAGTCCTTGACTACACCGTGGCAGACTCTGCACGTGGTTTCCCTTCACAGTGTCACAGTCTGAATGTAGCTCTTGACTTTGTGGTCTCCAGAAGTTATCCTCTGAAATGGTATTAAAACCTGCCTACTCTTAGAGTCTGTTCAAGTCCAACAAGTCCCAAGATGGGTGTGGTTGATGTGTCTGCGTATCACTGACAAGGTCATCGCACTTTTAATCCTGAGTCTCCTTCATGTTCACCTCCCTTGTACCAGAGGGATGGTGGTGGCTGTATTAACTCTGCTGCCAATAAATGTGACCCATTATATGGTTGGTGTTTGTTATTGTCCTTGCAACTGCATTGAGTACCCCCTGTGAGACACTCATGCTCATATTTTCTGCAGGAACTCCCGGCTCGCTCCCAGCCACACTAACTTATCTGTCACAAAATCTAGGTGGAAAACACAAGAGGCAAGATTCTCTCCAAATATGTGAGAGCTCTGCAGGGAGGCAGTGCTACTGCTCTGCTCCCCTCACAGCTCCACTTACAGCAGTGGTTACTTGGCTTGGGCCCACTAGCATCATGTAAAATCCTTATGGATCCTCATGGTTCCAGTGCTCAGGATTGATGATTCCTCCTTCTCTTTTAGCATCTTGTGAATAACTTAGAATTTTTTCATGCTAATGCAACTCCCTCTCTTCCTGGTAAATTGCCTCATTTTGTGCTATTGGAAAGTGCTTAGCCTGGATTGCTTCACTGTGAGCACCTAATGGCTGCTGCTGCTTTCTGTATCATGTGTATGGGACAAGGGTGAAATATCAGCAGAGAGCTGACACCACTTCAATCCCTAAATGAGCGATAGTAGGAACTCCTCCTATAGTTAGCCTCAAATGACTTCTATTTGTACCACTTCAGCACTCAGGATTGTTCCTGCAGTTTCTGTGGCACAGATGAGATGGTAGTGGACAAACACACAGTGCTAGTGAAGTTAGAAAAGTTTCATTTTTATTTTAACAGTATCAGAGTTTTACCTCTTGTCTTTCTGTGCCTGGGAAATCAGGAATGCCTTTGCTCTGAAGACCCTGTAATCTAATGCCAGGTCTTGCTGTTCAGCTTTTACTGTTGAACTTTAGTGCCTCATTTCATGTGTGGTCTTGACTTCTGTAACACTCCTCACAATGGGGTTGGCAGCTCTTACCCTGGAACCAAGCTGATGACTTCTCTGAGCTCAGGGTCTGGCTTTAAGATAAGATGCAATCAGCAAAGATGATAAATATTTCGGCAAGTAATCAAACGTGTGAGAGCCATCTGGTTATTATCTTTGGATTAATATCTGAGATTAGAATCTGGGAGCGAATTTCAATGCAAACACCTCAAAGTCCTGTCAAACACATGGTAGTAAATATGTGTGGCTGATAAATCTATTGACTTTTTGTCTGAATTATTTAATGGAAATTGTAGGACGGCATTAGATGGCCCTGCCCTTTGCTGCTTAGCTGTCTTTCCAGGGCTTCCTTTCTTTTACACCTACAGTGTGTTCCTGATAAATCTTCTCACACACTTTTAAGTAATTTCCCAAGTGCTCTCAAAATGGAGGCAGCAATTCATCGCTGTCACTTTAGGTAATTATTACTGAAATCTACAAAACAGTGTTTCAGAACAATTAACCTTCATTAACCTTAAGCCTTAAAAGATTTTCTAGTGTTGCTCAGCACGCCTGGAAGCTGCCAGTCACACGTTTGTAAACTCGGAGCTGTCACGCAGTTCTCAAACCCTGTAGGGTGAGCTCTGTCTGCTTTACTGATCTCGGCTCACGCAAAGGCACAGCACTATATATTTCAACTTGTAAACGCTGTATCTTGGGTTTTCTTGTTACTATATTTCTGTGTAATACTTTCCAAACTCTACTTTATTGTATTCCGCAGTTTAAAAGCCACCTGGATATTCCTTTTCTATTCTTTTTTTTTTTTTTTTGAGACTATCTCTAAGCCTTCTTGCATGTTTTTGTAATGTCTAAGACAGACTCAGACAGAGGCTTCAGAAGACTTATGCAGCTGGTATCTTTTTTGATTATTTCATTTCACAATTCTTTTAGAATAAATGTGGGTACTAACAAGAACAACGAGTAAAATGTCAGTTGTACTAAATATAAGTGATCTGTCCTAGAAAAATATTAACACTTTTGTCAGTTCAATTACACCTGTGCATCATTCTACTTAAGCAGAGTAAAAAAAGTAGAGTCTAACAGATGTATGGTAAGGACATACAATAAATCCTTTATACTGGAACTTTTGGTGAATGTTTTAGAGACTAGAGATGAGAATATGTCCAGGTGTCCTTTGAACCCTGCAAGGTGATTAAAGTGAACAGTACGAACCTGAAGTGGCAGTACTGAAATGCATGGAGATACATGCATGGGCTAAGGATTTGCACAAGAGGAACAGCTAGTTCATGGGAATGGCGAGCCCACCGTGCATGGGAAACAGGGGAGATGAACATTTACAGCTTACTCCAAGTGGGAAAACTGGTTGTGGGGAATCTCTGTAAATATTTTTTTACATAGGAAGTAAATATCTTTCTACGTAGGAAGTAAAACTTTCACTGCTCTGCTGGAAGACGAATGAGAGCCACAACGAGTTGGAAGAGTGTAGCCAGTTACAATCAGCATCTCGGGTCTCCAGGAAGCAGTCAAATACTGAGTGCTAGAAGGGGATAATCCGTTTTACGCATTTTTAAATTAATATGAAATGGTACTCTCCCACTTTTGCTGTACAGCCTGGGTTTTAGAATGTCAAGGCAGTATTTGACTTTTCCAAGAGACTGCAAGCACTAATACAAATCATTTTTATCCATTTTAACCACCACACTGAGTGAATTGTTGGCTTTGTGCAATTAGTCTCTGTGCTTCTTGACAATAGAACCACAGATTTTCACAAATTCTATGAATAATGCAAGGTGGAAGCTCTGTTCTCCAAGTCTGTTATTTTGCTTCTTGAAAAACATTTAATTTCTTATAAACCTGATACAAATAGGTTTATACAGCTGACAAGTATCCCAAAAGAACAGAATATGCTCAGAACAGTGAGATTTGAACTGACATATTTTTGGCAAAAAAAAAAATAAATTATACAGGCTGTGTTTGTCTGGAAGTTTAAAAATAGGAGCCTTTGTCATATGTGGCAGGAAAGGCCCAGTTGAGTCATGATTGATGTCACTTGCAAGAATATTTTAAGCTTAGAAAATGACATCAGAATCATCAGAATTTAGTGAGATTCAGAGTGGCTCCTGAAGCCAGGGTGCTGGGGATTCTGGAAGATACTTTGTGGATAATACATAGCACACTGCCAGACATCATCTGAAGAGAAGCCAGGAGTTACGGTACTTTCAGACTACATTTCTAAATGATGGGTATAATTTGCTTTAATAACATTAATTTTTAGTTAAATGCATGTTTCAAACTAGTTTTGGTTTTTTAGATTTGGTGCAACCCCCCATTTCAGGCTGGAAGAGCAGTCTGTCACTATCTGACCTCTCCCCTTACTCACTTACATGACAAGTTTCCAAGAGCAGCCGGGAGCACTCTCCTTATTACCACGAGTCTGCAAATACAGCAGGATCTCTTTCCACTTACTCTTCTCCAGTTTTAGTGCTCAATTCCTGCTGACTTTACTACTGAGCATTTATAAGTCAGACTGTAACAGTACATATGTATGTTAGAAGTATTTCTTTTAGCTCCCAGGCTAAAACTAAACTTTGTCTGTCTGTCTGCTACTGCAAGTGCTAAAATGGAAGTAACGAAACAGAAAAGGTGCTTGGATTTCGCTTTATTAAAGATGACCAATAAATCGTGCGGAGTCAGGTCACAGAGAGGCTGTGCACAGCTTTTGCCATGCGGAGTAACAAACCTCTTTGGAATAGTTTCTTACATTTCTCCTTTGATTTGCCACATATAGCAAGTCTTTGCTCCCTAAAGTAATTTTAGTGTGAAAATTAGTATATTTAAACTAAGTACACAATGCTACTTTTGATCCAGCTAGATTTATTTTGCTTTTAAATAGCTTTTAAATGTAAAGAGAAAGTAAACTGCAAATCATATTTCTAAGAAGTAGATTTATACTTGCAGTTAGCAGCAGCATGTTTTGTTCCTAAAAATGACAGATATTAGTGAAAAAGCAAGTTGTACGGTTGCTTGGCTGCGTGCCTGTAACAATATGCATAATCAGTTTTCATAACTCAAATGAGTTCATTCCAGGAAAATAAAAAGTTCATCAGGCAAGCAGCTCCGCGGGTAAAGTGTGTGTGTTAGCTAAGAGCTGCTGTTATCTGCCGTTTAGATTTGCACGTTGTGCTCGTTCCTGTTCTGTTTGAAGAGCCAAGTGGCAGATGAATTATTCTTGGTATTCCTGACTTTTACTTCAAGCCAATAAACACCTGTGTGTGACTGGTCTGCCAGAGCCATTCCATGAAACATCTGGGCACGCTCCAGCCCTGGGGCTACTGGCGTTCAAAACATTTTCCCCTGATCCTGCCGCTCGCTGCTGCTGCAGTCGGGCCTGATTAAGCGCAGGAATTGGATCAGGAATCCCATCACTCCCATGCACCCAACTCTCTTGGTGGTAGAAGAGGCAGACAAAAGGACAAGGACTCTGGTGGATTATGTGAGTGGTGAGGCAGAGGGAACTGCATGTCATTCCTTTGGGCAGAGAGTTTTCCGTGGCTCCTCTGTGTTATTTAGCGCACAGAAAGGACCTGCGCTGGAGGATGAATCACTGCATAGTAAAACCTCTGTGCAATCTGTACTTTGTTGCAGCCGTTGTAAGGACACAGTGAGTGAAGCAGACAACTGTAGAGAAGGAAACAATGTTTTCACGATTAAGGCATGAGTGCAGCCCTGGGGAACTGAATCGTATCCCTGCCTTTGCCACAGATTTCCTGTGTGATAGGAGTCACTTTGCACATGTGGTTGTTAACTGTGTTTCTGGAGGTGCTTGGTATGGAGGAGTGTAATTTGTAGAAGTGTTGAGCACTTGCCACTGCAAACTGTAGGCAGTGGGAGCTGTGCTGTGATGAACACTGAGAAACCAGGCACCCTGCATCCCAATGAGGCAGGCAAGCAAAGTGGAGGCAGGGATTACACAGATAAACCTTCGTGAGTTCAATTTATATGGCTGAAGAACAGCTTGAAGGGGATTGTCCTTCTTAAACTTGTCCTTTCCTGTACCTAAAATAGGAACAGCAAAGTTCTAGTTAAATACAAATGTAATATTTGTGAACAATTGCTGAGTTTAAGATACGTCTGCTAAGGTGAGAAGTAGTAAAATTGCTGTTTAGCATTTGTCTGTCCTTCATTTGTTTTGCTACTTTATCTTTTTAAATGGAGATATTATTGTATCATTGAGCAGTCACTTAAGAACTTCCTATTAAAGTAATATTGTGAGTACGTGTATGTTTTTACTGACTATATGCAAAGTTAGAGATTCAATAGCCTCTGTGTCTTTTCCCACAGTCTTAAGGTGGAAAATATAAGCTTAATCGTAGAGCAAAAAGATAACACTTTAAAAATACTACACTGTTCTGTTGGCAAAAGTTGAAAAAGACATGTAAGACACTTTAGGGGAAGATACTTCTTGAAGTGAAGAGTTAATCTTCTGCTTACTCACAAAATAAAACGACTGTTTGTGTAATATGTATCTTAAAAGTCACAAATTGCATGAAAATATGCATAGCATTTTGTATGTAAGCTATGCTTATATCAAGATGGGCAAAGTCAAAAATAAGTCTCTTTCATATGAGAAATGGAAAATGAGAACAGAAAAGCAGATCACAGATTTCTATCATATAGTTTTGTCATCTTAAATACTGACACTCGTTGATGCTGTAATCCAGTGCCAGGGAGAATTACTATTTGTTTTTTTGAAAGTGCTATTTATTTTGCATGCTCACCATAATTAATAGAAAACTCTTCTATTCCCCCATTAGTTAATCACAGCTTTTAAAAACATTACATTTGGAACTGTCTGTTTTATGTAACTAGAAGAGGCATGCTCCATTCCACCAGAGGTGTTAGTTACATAGGTGACTAGAAAAGTAGAGGGATGTTTTTAACTTTAGTAATCACAAACACATACTAACACAGAAACCCATTTATTTTCTAAATTTTGCTTATTTGAGATGTAACCTATTTTTTCTGTTGGTACACAGAGCCATACACTCAGGATGCACACATGGCACCAAAAGTAGAATTCAGGCAATCCAAATGCACAAAAGTAATTCATAAAACCTCTGCTTTACTGACTGTAAAATCTGAATTCACTTGGCTCCATTGTTTTGGTCCTGTCAGTCTGCTAAGTGCCAAAGCTGAGGTTTCCGTGAGTACATTAAACTCTCAACTTCCAGCTACAGCTTCTTTTAACCCCACTAAAAGACAAGTCTGGACTCAGTTCCCTCAGGAGATCGCTTCAATTCAGGTGCCCAGAGCACACCTACCACTTACTGACATCACTGGCTGCTTCCAGGATGGATCTCACTCATGTCCTGGGCTCGTGGGTACTTGGCAGTTGCCCATGAACTTGTGGAGTTGTCTAGCAGAGTGGTGAGTTACAGAGGACTCGGGTTCCCGCATGCTTCAAAGTCCCCACCTTACTGTTCAAAGCTTCAGCCTGTTTTATAGAAGGAAATCCCACTGAACACGGATTGTGGCTCCATGAGGTGCCCTGGGAGAGTGGCTCAGAGCCCTGCACCCGCACGGGCACCCCCAGGCTCCCAAGAGGAGTGGAGGAGTTCAGAAACCCCTCTGCACTCATCATTCCTGTTTGGTGGACTAAAGAGCTGAGCACAGGATGTCTGTGTGTGCAGTGCAGCAAGCTCACAGGATCAGAACACTGTAAAATGTTTTGAGATTCACTTGAATATGGTTTGCTCTCAGTCTCAAATGAAGCATATATAATTATCACCAGAAGCAGAGATGAAAAAAATCACCAGATCATCCTTTACTGTTATCAACATGGCAGAAAACACCAAGTATTTCTAATTACTATATTCTACTTCTACATAGAATAAAAATAGACCTGAATTTAATTGTAATGTCTCAGTACAGTGAGATTGCAAACCATTCCCCCCCCCTCAAGATTATACTCAATCCTTCCCCATGTGGAGTATTTAATCCTACTTTTGCTTACGTTAAACTGAATAGAATTTTTGTACCAAATTAGGACAACTAAGTCCTTCCACGCAGAAAACTACTGAGCTCACTGGATATTTTTCTGTCGTGGTGCCAAACCATACAGTAATCGTACTGAGGATACGGATGGAAGAAACGCTGCTCTGCACAGTAATTCCATATAGGAATCACTATTGATTACAGCGAGGCTACTTTATGGGTAGTGGTAAATTATGAGGTTTCTCTTGTAAGTGAGAACATTGATTTACATGAGTAATGCAAAGACTCACACAGAAACTGAACTCAAACTTTAACTGTCAGCTGTAACACATCTATTTATACCACAGATCTGTGCTTAGCTACTTACATTTAATTATAATCAGTTGTGGTGCCTGTCTGTGTTTACTCAGAGAATCACATTACTGAGGTCAAATGCAATGACAGTTATATTGTAGTTATTTGAAAACATGCTTAGTTGTACATTCTGCCTGTATCTGAGGACAGAATTTCTGCAGAAGAGAGGATGGGTATGATTCACCAGTCCTTCCTTACATGAATAAAATTTCACACACATCAATTTTAGTCAGGGCATGTCAGTGCTGCACAACACTGAGCTGCAGAGAGATAGCCAGAGCAGCTCCAAAGGAGCCAGCTTGGTAACTGGAAGCAGTTTAACCACATTGCTTAATGCTGCATACTGTCTAATTTACCCTGGTTTTTAGCAAAGTAAATTAGCTTTGGCAAAGCAGTGCACAAACAGGCTACCCTGCTCCCAGTCCGTGGGCCAGCTTTGGCATGGATTTCCATACCGTGCATACTGTGCACTACAGCAAAGGACTCTTTGCATAAAAATGCACAGATTCAGATCCTCACATTTTATTCTACACTTATTCACTTTAACAGCACAGAACGTTTTTAATTCTTGAATGTCACTGCTTAAAATTTAGTGGTGTTACTGAAACAGAACATCAAAGACTACAATAGCATTATAAATGAATCACTAAAGCATATCAGTTTGGGCTTACCATGATCAAATATGCTTATATTTACCAATTAGAAGTAGCAGACTCTTAAGCCTAATTGCTTCTGACCCATGGCATCCTTATTTCCAGCATGAATGGCTTTACCAAAATCTGAACAAATCGCTAACCTTTCACATTGAAATCTTAGAAGAAAAATGTCAATATAACTACACTATGTTTTAGAATGTCACAGGTCCTACATTTTTTTGAAAGAGTCTGGGAAAAATTAGGGTTTAACTGCCTGCTGTCTGACAGTATTGTTGATAGACCAAATTTTTCCTCCCATGAAATCAATGACAGAAATCTGTCAATGACAAAGGGAGCAGATACTTGTCTGCCATGTGGTCTTGCCATGTACAATTTTCCACTAGGGACAGAATCCCCTTTCATCTCTGAGAAATTATTTCGAACTACTTAGTAAGAGAGTCTTTTGGCATCAAAATTAGCAACCTTTTCAATACCAAAGCAACAGATGCTAACTTGATATTCCAGGAAACAATAACATTCAAACAATTCAGTGTTATTCTTCCCAAATCTAAACAGAGCACATAAAGATGCATTTTGAAAAAGTAACCTGCTTCAGCCCCCAAATTTTACATTCAGAGTTGAAGGCATGCTGAAAATCAACAGCTATTGTAATAAGCTGAAATATTAATTTATGCATAAATTAGGTGGAAAATAATTGAGAATTTTTAAAAATAGATAGTTTTAATCTCTATCTCTGCTTGAGCTAAAAAATAAAGACATAGGAGCTACCTGCAACTCCTTCTACAGTAAAATAACTACCTAACTGTGGCAGAACTTCAGATCCTCTAGAACAACCTTGATGATTCTAAATTTAAACTAAAATGCTTGAATGTATACAGCTATTACCAGAAAAAGAAGTGGAAAAAATTAGAGGAAAAATGTACCCATATGGAGGACTCTAATATCCATGGCACAGATCTTGAGAACAATACCAGAAAATTGGCTGAATTAACTGTATCAGAATGTACACTATGCAAGAAGACATGTATATGCAACACACATTTCTGCTTCTCTCAATAAAAATAATTTTGATAAAAAGGCAACTTTCCTCCCCAGATTGAAGTTCTACCGTAAAAGGATTTGGAATGGAGCTATAATCCCTGTTCTCATCCACAAAGGACTTATTTTTCATCCAAGTTGAATGAAGATGTCAGATTCATCAAACATATTCTATGGAGTTAGAGTTGGTTTTTATTTTGTTTTGTTTAATAGCTCACACAGCACGATCACTATGAAGCAGAAATTTAGATAAATACATTATTTTTTTACCAGGCACTGGGTTAATGCTCAACCTTGCAACATCCAACTGTTGCTCCATATTAATTTTACAGCCAATTGCTGCTCAAACCCTGTAGTGATTTGGCTGTATTCTGATCTCCACTGCTCTCACCATTTCACATTTTCCCATATAATATTACCGTACCACCATAAATGATAGAAGCAGTCTCTTCGAAACCAGTGATTGCTCCAAGGTGCTTGAATTTCTGCCTTGAAATGACCTACAAAGAAGAGAAAACGCCCTGATGTCAGTCTTGGCTTTCTTTCTGATTATGTAACAGGGGAAAAACGATACAATTTTTTTTTATATTTTTATGTTAGTTTTGTAAAAACTAAGGAGGGAATTATCCAGAATTACTGCTGGTGATTGCCTAAGGAGTGAAATGGGGCTACTACAGTAATAACTGGTAGCTGAATACCTGAGAAGTATTTAACCTTCTCTCTAGCTATGTAGTGTGTTTTGCGTGTCTGTGTCAGCACCTCGTGCGAGAATCTGCTCGTCATGAAACAGTCAAACCCTCTCTCCTGACTAATACTGGACATTACAGTCCAAAATACTTTCCACCAATACCTCTCATTTTTCCTCTAGGAAAAGAAAGCCATAACTGGAGACTACTTACGACATTCTAATTCTAATTTTAAAACAATCTCCTTTTCACACTCCCACCACAAAACAAACAGCCCAATCCTTTCTCCCTTTTTTCCCCTTGAAAAAGGAGGTAATTTTTAGAAACTACTAAGAAAGCAAAAGGCATTTGGGCACGTCAGTAGCATTCACTTGCAAAAGGTTTATGTTTGAAAGCTAAAACCACTGTCTTCCATACAGCGCAAGACACACTGTCTGCAGCATTGCTTTTAATATCGAGTTATTTCAAATAAGGATAAACACATAATTAAGAAGTGCAGCTGGCAATTTTCTGCCTACATTTTAAAATAATTCTCCATTTTTTGTTTTATTGGCCACAAAGTCGAATTCTTTTCTAAATTGCAAAGGTGCAAAGTGTTTCTGGATATACCTAATTTAGAGTAAGGTGTTCTAATTTGCTGGGTTATGACTGTGTCCATTCCACATGGCACACACTATTTTGAATAAATATTGTTGGGTTTATTTTGGTTTGTTTTGTTTATTTACATGGAAGCCTTAAAAGGCTTCTCTATCTTTCTGATTTCTTTACAGAAACTGTACTAACCTTGTAGTTATAATCCACTCATAAAAACAATTCAACTAACCAAGGAACAAGTTTTAAAAGACACTATGTAGTTTCCATTAGTACTGAATTGCTATGCTATTAAAATCAGAACAATTGACTAGTTCTAGAAAAAGCATTTTATATGAATATCAAAATGCATAGATATTATCTCTCCCTTGAAAAATACAAACAAAATATAAAAATTTTATGCAGGGAAGAATCAACTGGAAAAATAAAGAAAATTAACCATTAATCCTTTCTCTGTGCAAGGAGTTGTATTGCTATATGAAGAAATTAGGGTGACTCATGGAGTCAATACTTTGGTGACTCCTCCTGTACAAGTCAAGATTTAAAAACAATTCAAAAAAATTTTATATACTTGGATAACTCTACTTCAGAATATCTTTCTCAAAAGCTTTTTCTTTCAGGGTTATTATGCACACATATTTTCATTGCAGAAATTTCAAGACAAAATATTACATGAAGAGGGAATTGAGGTTTAAGATGCAAAAAAGATAATGTAGGAATTAAAAGGAAAAATCTTCGAATGTAATTATTCCCTACTAAAGTATTACAAACCCAGGAAAAACAGCCTCTGAAAAGATATCTCACCATTTTAAGACCCCTGATAACCTGCCCTGTATCTTGTTCTGATGCTACAAAGAAAAAAATTCAATTAATTTACTGAGTCTTTCAAAATCACAGTCTTGTAAACTAGTACTTCAAATATTATTGTGACATAGTTACAGTCCTCTGGTTATTACACCAGACTGATTATTTCTTTCAAATTATACTCAAAAATATTCAAAAGTTCTAGGCAGTAGCAAACAGAAATGAACAAAAGGGAATAATTTGCCATCTACAAAGAGAGGGAAGCACAGTCTAGTAACACAGTTCATATTCTGAAATATTATGTTCTTTACTGATAGAAACTTATTAAATCACATTCAATCTTGGACTGTAAAACATGAATCCCATCTGGAAGCCATTTCTAAAAAAGAGCAGCATATCTCTGTTATTGTCATTGTCCAGAAAATAACTGTGCAGATATTGTTAATTTATCACTTACTAACCAAAATACTGTCCTGCTTAATTTTCTTGAAGATTTTTGAAGTAACTGTCTCTTTGCCAGACATCCACGTGCCCTTGCATGCCTCTTTGCCCCTTGCATTGAGACCCATTTGAAAAATGGTCTTTTCTGTTTTCTAATTTCTAGGGCCAAGACAGTGAATTGCACAGTGTCCAATCCATAAAAATCCTAACTGCAGTTAAGCTGGCATTTTTTGAAACACATAATTACTCAGAAAACAAGATGTAAGTAGAAGATCACAACTCGGAAATCAGAGACTAGGTGAAAAAGAGAAGAAAGAAAGACATCAACAGATTCATGTCCTCTCCCTCTTTTTACATTCTCATGTATGTCACCTTTAGAGCTGAAATCCTGCCTTTCCACAAAGCACTACAACCCAATTAAAAAAAACCAAACATCAATACAACAAACAACAATGGATTACAAGAATTTAAGATGCATAAAAATGCTTGTTAACAACTCCAGGCATGTAAGTGGTGCATTTGTACTAATACAAAAGGAAATAAAAGCAGTACAAATGGATTTTTTTTTTATTTCTCTTGCTAAGCCCTTTTCACCAAAACAGTTATACTTTAGTTTGTTTTATGAACAACAAAATATGTAAATTTTGTAACAAAAGCAAGCTAATGAACAATAAAAGGAAACTGACAAATATTATATTGTTTTCTCCTGATTTTCAACTTGTCTGACAAACTGACCATGAAGCTGATCAGCTAAACTGCTATTTAACAGAAGGAGTGGCTGGTATTATATGCCTTTTTTATTTTGTGTAAACCTCTACAATTTTTTTACAATGTGTATTAATGTTCTGCTTTGGCAGTAATAATTTACTCCCTATTCTACAATAATGTGAGGAAAAATATACATGAAAAATTGCTTACACATTCTGGCTGCAACTTCGAGATTGTAAAAAAATTTCCAATTGCCTTACTCTCCATGCTAACAAATTCTTCATATTCCCCATTTCTTTGTGCCAGTAACAAATGATCTCATCTTTGACTATGCTCAGGCAAACATCTCACCTACTGTTTTATAAAATGTCTTTTACACTAAAAATGTAAAAATAACTTAGAGCAGAAAGTCACTATTACAAAAATGTACTAATACTGGTTTATGGAATTAGCCAAACATGGTGCATATGCCATCTCTGGGCAGACCCAGTTCCTGAGTAAGCTGCTTTTGAGAACACGTTATAGCTTTATTGCCTGGAATTTTTTGCACGCTGATTTTGAGCTACCAAGAGAATACTTTCATATTTCTTTAAATGATTACTTAACACTTTAGCTTTCAGGCAAAATTTTTTTCTAATATATCCATTTACACTGTTGTGCTAGGATGTATTAATAGCACTGATCAATCAAAAAAGCAAGAAGTGGTATTAAATCTCCTTCGGTCTATCTAAGTGAGGGAGTCCCTAAGTGTTTATTTTTTAGTGATAGCTGATGTAAGAAGGCAATATTCCCTGTCATCCAGCATGATATGCCTGAATGTAACCAAGGGAATCACCCAGAGCTGAAATACCAATGCAATAACTGCAGTAATGACTTGTTACAGCTGATACGTGTCTGAAAATGTGCAAAAAACTACAGAGCACAGACACAATAAGCAGGAACAGAACTTGTTCATATCACTTAATTATTTCCAAGATCAGAATCCCCTGTAAAATATGATTCAAATTTTCTATCAAATTCAAAACTTACTTTCAAAGAGGAAGAGGATGGGAACCAAAAGATAGAGACTGAAGGCTATAAATATTTCTTTTGTTTAGAAATGGCAATATTATATGCTGAAATTCTGCAGAAAGCTACAAACTCATCAGCTGAAAATAAAAGTGATGGATTAAAAGTTGGTTGTATTATTCAATTGCAAGGTGACAACAATCCCAAATGTGAAAACCAAATGCAATCCTAGAATGTAGTAGTTGAGGAACTTCCAAAAGAGATGAAGACTATTAATGCCATTGTAATAGGTCCCAGTGAAATGACCTTAGAAATAGCATTGAATCTATTTAAGAAAAAAATGCTCAGACTGGAACATAGGCAAATAAGAGATACTAATATGGTAAGGACATGAAGAACTTGTAGGCTGTGTCTAGAGGAACTGAACTGGTTTAGCCTAGCAAAGTGAAGTCTGAGAGAAAATATTCTAACTCAGAAACTGGGTGTAAAATCTATGGAGGAAAGTAGGTGTTGAAAACAAGGAAAAGGACCAACAAGAACGAATACACGTAAACTAGTCACACAAATTGAGGTTATAAATTAAATCAGGTGGTTTCTAGTCTTCAGAAGAGTTAGAGCAGTCTTCCTGGGAGTGCTGCTGTGCTATGAACTCTGCACTTGCCAGCTACAAAAAAAAAAAAAGACAGAAAAGCACCTCTGACTCCAGAGCATCCATAGGCCTTAACTTCTAATACCAGATCCCAGCAACATTCCTCACCACTGGCTTGCAGGATCTGTTCTGCTTTTTAATTTTTTCACTTATCTGTCCCCACAGGAAGTTCCACTGGTAACTAAGCCTGAGCTAGTTACCAAAGCTCCTTTTATAGCCAGTGGAGATGCATAGTCTTTGAGGGCAAATCATCCCATTTATCTTTGTCACTGAAATATCTTTTCTTCTTGCTCTTCAGTGGAACAGAGTGATCTCATTTAGGAATTCTATTTCTTACTCCACCGACTTCTTGCTTAAAATACTCAGCTCTGTGTGAAAACTCACTGTCTTCACTCCCCACCACCCATGGTGGGGATACTTTTACTCCCTTTCACATTTTGCTGCTTGAACCTTCTGCCCATCAAAATCAACTTTTTTACAATCATTGCTTCAGTAAAAAGAAGAGATTGAATCCACTCTGGAAATGTATTCATACATAGTATTCCATACAGAAAAGAAATTGCATTAAGTCTCTACCCAGGCTTTTTACTAAAAATGCTCTCTCAGTTTCACCTAATCAAATGATTCATTTTCAATCTTCTCTAAGTTATGCAGTGAAACAAGAACAGCTAATGCTATTCTTAAGTCATTACTGTGCAGACTGCGTGTACTTATCCATAGTAACTGCTTGAAAGTTTCAGTAAGTAAAATGTATACGGACAATCATCTCTGTGTATTAATCCCACACTGTTATTCTTCGAGATACACTCCACATACATTCCATGACCTTCCTCATTATTAGAGGTTTCTTACCTGTCTGAGTTCTGAGTTGGTAAAACAAATCTTGGCTGTGTTAACTCTGTGGTGTTGGAAGCTGGGTATTTCTGCTGGGTATTTCGAAGGACACACATACTGCCTTCAGAAGGACATATATACTGGAAAGCTGACCACAGCTTCCTAACTTCAGTCACTGTACAGCGGGTAATCATTCCTTCCTAGCTCAAATCTTAAGTCCAATTTTTATCATTTCGTAGGCATTTTGATGGGCCCAAATAACAGAACTGGAGTGGAAAGGGAAGTCCCAGAATATTGTTCTTATCTGCTCAGTAGCGCAAAAGATGAGACAGTAAGTGATGAGATGAGCACAGTAAAAACTTTATAACCTAAAAATTTATCCAGAGCGATGCCTCATTCAACAATATATGGATCTATTATAGGATTAGGGGAATAGTATTAATTTCCATTCTGTGTTTGGAGCTTTCTATTTGCATGTGTATAGTGTTGTGTAGTACTCAGTACGTGAAAGGACTTTATTCCTTGCTTTTGCCCATACCTATTTCCTTTACTTCTTTCAAGAAACAATAATTTTACATTACATTTCCTTTAACAAAAAGGATTTCAGGCATAATCTGTCACACTGCCTCAAAAACTAAAAGTGGTCGATCTCGACCAGTATTAATTAAAGCTGTTTTCTCATAACAGCTGACAGCGAGTGAAAGGTTTGAGCTGTCCAGGCTAAAATTCAAGCTAAAAACCAGTCGGTGGTCTCCCTTTAACTTCTGGTGCGAAGTAACTCTAGTTACTACATTATTTAATTCCTCACCAAAAAAACATATAAGCCTGCTTTATTATTTTAAATACTGCTCCTCTTCCCGTCCGAGGGGGAACGTCCGCCGGGCCGCGGCTTTTGCCGCTGTCCCGGTGACGCGGGCCCGTCCCCACGGCAACGCCGCCGGCCATGGCGGGGCGCGGCCATGTCCGCCCGGCCCGAGGTGAGGGGCGACCTCGGACTCCCGGCTCCGGGCTCCCTGCTCCCTCCCGCTCCCTCCTCAGCCCTTGCCCCGGGCTCCCCGCAGGGCCGAGGCGGCCCCAGGCCCAGGCACTGCGGCGGCCCTCGGGCTCTCCAGGCTGGTCGGGAGGGAGGTCCCGCACCGTCCTTTCCGCCGTTCGGAGACAGTGCCGGGGGGTCATGGTGGGCTTAGGGCTTTTAACGGGGGGGAAACCTTTTGTTACAGCCTCAACAAGGGCCTTCTGCTCTCTGCTCCCAGCATTTCCATAGCACCCCGAATTAATTAAGGTGAAATAAACTGTGCTTGCACCTGACTTCCCTGTTTCTTTAAAATTTGCGAGTTGGCCTCTTCAAGTCCCTCTTCCCCACTTCGGGGATTTTAACGAGTTAAATGAATCTAATAATTACTGGATACGTTTGTTTCAAATTACAGCGGCATTTACCATGTGAGAGCTCAGTTCTACCGTTCTCTGGTGGTGTCTCTTTGCCAAGGTGGACTCCTGTGATAAGTGTCCGAGACCATGGGAGCAGCATTGGAGAGGGCGGCTCAGTGGACTGCTGCTGGCTCTGGAACCGGCACGCTCGAAATGACCCCTTTGAACGAATCTCTTTTAAATCAGATTATTAAGTTTGCAGAGGAATTCAGCACTAAACATCCCGAGGAAGCAGCGTTTGTCTTCAGAGAGCCCCTTGAGTGGAAAACGCAGTTGGACTCTTCAGTATTTGGAAAGGGTTATGTGATCAAGTAAGTGAATTGCAGTGTGTTTTCAAATGCAGAAGGTGAACTATGAAGCAAAATTGTGCTCACTTAGCATAAAGCAAGCCTTAGTGGCCATGGGTGGGATTTTTATTGATGTATATTGAAAATTTTGAGCTGAAATTTTAAGTGTTTCTTTTTGAGTTTAAGACTATTCTGTCTCATTTGTGATGCAGACCTGGTAAGTTAGCAATTCTTAAAACTTGAACTGTCTATTCCTAAGACTTTTCACAACATATGTTCAACTGTGATTTCTCTTTGTGTTAGGAGTGACTCCCATGTGGTGAGTTGCCCTTGGTTGGTTGCCAGGTGCCCAGCAAGCTGCTCTATCACTCCATCTTCTACACTAGACAGGGGAGAAAGAAACAACCAAAGGGTCATGGGTTGAGATAAGGACGGGGAGAGATCATTCACCAGTCACTGTCTTTGGCAAACCAGACTTGACTTGCGGAAATTAAATTTACTACCAATTAAAAGTCAGAGTAGGATAATGAGAAATAAAACTGACTCTTAAAACCTTCCCTCTTCCTCCCATACCTACCTCTTCTCAAGCTCAACTTCACTTCTGATTATCTCCTCATTCCTGAGTGGCACAGGGGGATGGGGGATAAGGATTGTGGTCAGTTCATTACACATTTTTTCCTGATGTTCCTTCCTTCTCACACTCTTCCCCTGCTCCAGTCTGGGGTCCCTCCCACAAAACAGTCCTTCCCAAACTTCTGCAATGTGAGTCCTTCCCACGGGCTGCAGGTCTTCATGACCTGCTCCAGCAAGGATCCCTTCCATGGAGTGCAGTCCTTCAGGCACCCTCTGCTCCAGCATGGGTCTCCCACAGGGTCACACATCGTGCCAGCAAACCTGCTCCAGCATAGGCTTCTCCCTCTGTGGGTCCACAGGTCCTGCCAGGAGCCTGTTCTAGTACAGGCTTCCCATGGGGTCACAGCTTCCTTTGGGCCTATCTGCCTGCTGATTTGCAATGAATGAATTGGTTTACCTTGGAAGTTTTTTAAAATATTGCTTGAAGAAATTGTGTGTGCTTTATCATGTAAAACTTGAATAACATTTAAGATTCTTCTCAATTAAAGTTATTATTTTAAAAAGATATAATTTAATTTTTCTAGTGAAGCAGCTGTTCAGTCTGAAGCCACAAGCAGAGATGGCCAACCATTGCTGCTTCTCTCGGCATCAACTCTCAGAGTTCGCAGTTTTGACCAGCTGTCCCGTTTGCTACAAATTGCTATGGAAAAAAAGTTAAAGGAAGCACAAGCATGCCTCGAAGGTTTCTTTTCTTTTTTTTTTTTTTTAAGTCTTTCCTCATTCTTAAAATGTTTTCAGCAATTTATGAAATGTGCAGAAAGAAATATATGCCTTCATTTTAAGTATGTGAGAAGGTACTAATTCATGAAGGTGGCTAAAGGTGCTGATCCAGACCTTAATGAAGTTTCTATTTCTTGTTTTATTTACACAGAAATTAATAACAGAGAAATCTGGAATAAAGTTAAAATAATGTTGTTGACTCTCATACAAATTTGTGTATACTGAGCAATTTCCCAGCGATGACAGTAGGCTTAAATTTCTGAAAAAAAAGTCTTCTTTGAGGCTAAATAACAGTTTTTCCTACATATGTAGTTTAATACTCCTTTAAAATGTTACATACTTAAAAAACGGCCAAAGAAAAAGTTGTATGTTTAAGACATTCTTACCTGTACAAGGTTCACAATGAGCATTTCCAGATTCCTCCTTCTCACAATGGGTTTAAAATATAGGTATGAGCACTTCTACTGTGTCATCTTCAAGACCAAGATTTTCAAACTGACAAGAAGACTGTTGATATGCTAAACTGGATATCCTCCTCCTACCTGGAGGTAGAAGAGATCAGTGATATTCTATTGTGATATTAGTAGAAATTGCATCTGCAGTTCTAAAATATAAATGCATATACTGGATCAAGCTTCAGATCCATCTGATCCAGGGCCCTGTCACTGACAGTGGTTAACCATGAATACTAGGGAAGAATAATATGACCAGTGTATCATGCAGAGCCATTCAGAGATGCATGGGACTTCATTTGCAGCAACAGAGCAAAATGGATTTGTAAAATACATTGACATGTAGTTATGTCACTGTTTACCAAAAAGAACAGCTGGCATAGCTGAGGAAGTAATGGGGCCATTGGGAATGCTGCTAGAAAAGCTTAAAGATGTTCTTTACACTAAATCATATTTCCAAAATGATCAATTTTCAGTGAGTTAAGCCCATTGATTTCCTGTTTTGGGAATCAGCCAGGCATAGTTTTGGGAAAGGGGACTGTTGATAAAGGGAACTATTTAATATTCACCCCTTGGTTGAATGAATCTTAATATTTGCTGTAAAAAGCAATTGGTTTGTTAAGAAAAATTTCTTTTTGTTCTTAGTGTTACCATGTTCTGAAAAGTACATTTAAAATTGCAGTAGAGGGATATGAAAGAATAAATCAGACAGTAATGTTTGATGAATAACTATGAACATTATAAAGTTCTTACTGTAAATTAATAGCATCAAAATCGTGCAGCAATTGAAACAAAAGGTGTTTGTCTCATCCAATCATTTTAAACATAGTTGCACATTACATGATTCTGTTTCATGTTTACAGCTAACAGAGATCCTATAGTGAAAATTCTTGGCCCTGAATATGCGACTGTTGAAGGAGAAGATACGTCCATCTTGCATTTATTTGACAAAGTGAAAAGAGGTTATGACCCTGAAACAGAGACGAAAATGAAAATCATTCTTCTTCTTCATCAGCTGGATTTGCAACTGCTTAATAGTTCTTTGAAACAGATTTCACAGTAAGTGCATTTCAAATGGAAGCTAGGCATCTCAGCCAGTGCATTTTTTTGTTTTATTATTAAATCAGATTGGTTTCAACCCGCAGCATGTGTTTTTGGTGTGATATAAAGAAATTTATGGAAATAACTTTCACTATTCACTAAGTTATTGAAAAAACCAATTTTTTATGAAGATTTTTCTGTAGGTGTGGGTATGCAAGTGTGTGCCCACAAGTGTGGTTTTTTTATTGCATATGTTTTGCATTTTGTTAGCAAATTGAAGTCATTTGTACAAACAACAAAGTTACAGTCAAATATTTTCAAGGAACTGTTTATTTCTTCATGGAACTGTATTAAGTATTACATTGAGTCTGTTTCATAGTTACAAGGACTTTGTATTAGGTATGGAACGAAAATTTCACTGAACGATAGAAAAAATTAAGAAACACTATGAAAGATGACCCATTTTTATATTTTTGTTGCTACTAGTAAGACTCAATGTAAAATTAAAAAATTGTGCAATATTCTCTTCATTTCTCTGAGCACATCCTTTTGATGTGAATACATCAAAATACATCAAAATACATTTTAAACTATTTTCTATTAATTGCAGAGGTGTTAGACTAAATCCAGCTGCTGTAAACAGTGAAGTGAATCTTCTCAAGAATTTCTCTGGGAAAGGAGAAGATACAGTACTGGAATCACTGGAATATACATCAGGTCTAGATCATATCTTATGTTTACATAGACTGTTATTAAAGTACTTGATTTCTGTGTGAAATTTTTTGGATTAATTTCAGTAACACATTTAAAGTGTTTATTTCTACCATAATGTTATGAAGTAAAATAAAAAGTATTTTCAGACATGCAATGGTGTTCTTCAGCCTTTACATACAGAAATAAAGGCCCAGTTATGTGAATATCTTCAGTGGAAGTAGAGGAAGTGAACTGACTCCCTGATCCCGAAAAGTGCTAAACACAGTTGTGGTTCTTGGTTGGATTGGACCAAGGGTCACAGAGTTTTGCATGATTAATACCTAACAGTATGAATTCTTAAGAGTAACAAACTGTTTGGGGATTTTATTTGTATACGTGTTACATTAATCATCAAGCATAACTATTAAAAAATACTTTTAAACTGGATAAAAACACTAATGCTAATTGGTTACAGATTACATGTTTGCTAATGGATGCCGAGCTCCTCCCTGGAGACAAGTGCATGGAGACATTTGTTATTTAGTCATCAAACCACATGACACTGATCCTTTGTATATCACTTGCAACACAGCAGGAGTGTTTTTAAATGGGGTAAGTAGTAATAAAGGATACCATGCAGTAATGATTATTTTTTTGTGCTAAAATCAAATCTCAGGTTTGGGGTAGTGGTACTGGGGCTCTAAGACCTGCAGAGCTCATGTTTTGGTACAGAAAGAGAAGCCACAGTAATAAATGTGTGCTAGTTTTTCCATGTGTTTTGAGTGCTTTTTCAAAAAGTTTTATACCAGGAGTGTATTCTGCGCTCCTTCCTAACAGTGTTTGGTTGGTCTTTAAATGCACTCAAGCAGTTCTTCACAGTGGTCCTGTTTAAAGGTACTGGGGGACTCGATGCCTCTTTAGT